GACTGCCTGGCTGCCTGGGCGTGGCCCCCATTTGCCATTGGCGGGGGTGTAGTCCAGAGATGGTGCACAGCAGGATGCCCATGAGTGGGTCGTCGACCAGCGCCTGGATGCTGTCCGAGAGGGCGGCCCCAATCTTTGCCCACGAGAACTGCTCATCCAGTGGTGCTGCGATGCGGTCCGTGAATGACCTCTCCAGTTTGGCCTTGGCCTTCCTGATGGCGTCGTCCAGGACTTTTACACTGTCGTCCCCGTCATGTGTGGGAGCAGCTGGGATCCACGACTCCAGGTCCTTGATGGGGTCGAATCCCTCGTCACAGCGCAGGGAGGTCCGGTTGCCCAGGTCGTCCTCCTGGAAGCGGATCCAGAGCCCGGCCATCCTCCCATATTCCGAGAGCTCCCTGAGGTGCGATCCCGTGGCCGTGCCGAACATTCTTCCATCCCCGATTATGATAACGCGTGACTTGGCACGCGTGATAGCGACATTGACCCTATTGGGATTGTCCATGAAACCCCAGTCGTGGAAGTAGTTGGACCGCGTGGTCAGGTAGATCACGATGTCTGCCTCACCGCCCTGGCTGGAGTCGATGTTGGAGATGCTGAGCCTGCCGCTGGCCAGGTGTTTCCCAGCTACCTGGCATACCCCTTGGACTTGTAGTCCGATTCCGTTGGATTGGGAGCTCCATTGCTCGAAGACCTGTTCGTGTCCTCGTTGGTCCCGGGGGCGGAGAGGGGGGTCGCATGGCCCTTTGAATTCGCCTTTGCCATCTCCTTTATCCTTGTTCCTAGCCTGCCCGAGGGAGCCGATGACGCTGCGACCTGACTGGGGCCAACCCCTCTCGAGCACCGCGCACTGAAGCTGGTAGCCTACCACGACCAGGACTGTGGTCCCATTTTCCATGGCAGGCATGAGGGCCCTCACCACGTCCACCGTCTGTGCGGCCTCTGGGATGTTCGCGTAGCCAGAATGAAGATTGGAGGTGACCTCGACTAAGGGGTTGTCGACCAGGAGAAACCGGTGCCTTTCTTCAGAGGGCTGCGGTGGGGGTTGAAGGTCCCGTAGTAACGTTTCCATGTCGCTTGTGGTGGTATTGGCCGATTCAGCTAGCGCCTGGAGCCTCCCTTCGTCCCAGGGTCGTACCTGCTGCCACGGTAGTCCTTCCACGATAGGCCTCTGCGCCAGGGGATTGGTGAGCCCTGTCCGAATAGCCCTGTTGTAGAAGGCCACGTTCGGCCACGAAAGGAGGAGAGGATGCATGCGGTAGCACAGGTTCAGCTGTGCCACTGCTGGGTTATCCCCGCCTAGTGCATTGTACAGCTTGTCGAATATGGAGAGGCAAAGTCCCCTATCCGCCGCCTTCCTGGAGAGAACCGTGGGGGGTAGCTGCCTGGGGTCACCAACCAGTAGTAGGCGCCCTCCTGACCGTATGACATTGACGAGGGACATTGCCGCCATGTGTTCGTGGGCCTGTCCCGCCTCGTCGATGATGAGCAGAGCTGTTGGTACCAGCTTGAGCGACTCAGCCGCCTCGTGGGTAGCGATAACCAACTTGGCGTCGCTTAGTAGCTGAGAGCGGAAGGACTGGAACTCCTTGGATGGTCCGTTCTGCTTGGGCGGGCGGTCGTGGGTCCTCTGAAAGTGTCCCACTGGGGTCAGGGACGCGATCTCTGGCGCCACTCTGGCGTCCTTCGCGAGCCTGACACACCTGTTGGGAAAGCCGGTCTCACCAGCCAGCCTGTTCTCATTGTGCGCAATCCCGAGCCCGATAGCGGGCTGATCGGCTGCCGTATTCGATCCAGCTGTGAGGGCCACCGACTGCCTCGCGGGAAGTGAACTAGCCCATGCGTCCATGGTCCATGGTGGCCACCGTGAACAGAGTCTTGCCAGTCCCTGGGGGTCCATGCACAGTCGTCACGCTGGTGGGGATACGCGAAGCGTCAAACAGTAAGGGAGGATAGAGGGCGAAGTGATGAAATGGAAAGGTGCACACCTTCCCCAGGGCCAGCTTTTCATCCTGAGTTTTTTTTTGTTTCGGTCCTGGGGCCCAGTGAAGATCCCTGGAGGCCGAATATGGCCAAACACTGGCCGCATGTGGGCGGCGGGGTGGAGAGAAGCATGGCCGCTGCGGGGGCCTGGGCCGCGGCCTCCAGCTCCATCTCGAACTCGCGCTCCTTGCAGGCGTCCTGCGGAGAGCGCGGCGGCCGGGGGGGGGGGCGGACGACAGCCATCGAGTACACGTCGGGTAAACATCGGGTAAACATCGTGTAACAATCGAGTGCACATCGGGTAGGTGTCGGGTAAATATCGGGTAAGTTTCGGGTAAATATCGGGTAAGTTTCGGGTCAGTTTCGGGTAAGTTTCGGGTAAGTTTCGGGTAAGTTTCGGGTAAGTTTCGGATAAATATCGGGTAAGTTTCGGGTAAGTTTCGGGTAACTGTCGGGTAAGTTTCGGGTAAGTTTCGGGTAACATCGAATAACAATCGAACAACAATCGTACGACAACCAACTCCCCCTACCCTTCCGTGCGCCGGTCCTTCTGCTCGCGCGGCTGCGACGCTGGAATGTTGTCGATCTCCGAGGTCTCCGCTGCCGCCTGGGGGGGGGGCGCTGCTGCAGGAGATATCTGGCCGGGCCCCGAGCTGCGCCCGGCCGTGTCGACGAGGCCCCATCCTGAAGCCAGGAAGCGAGAACGACCGTGAGGAAGGCGAGGGAGGGGGTGAGGGTAGCTGGGATGGTTAGGAAGATCACTCATTCCCACAACATCTTGGACCCCGAAGATCAGTCGCCACGACTGATCTTCGGGGTCAGGGGGCAGGTTGTGACATGGGGCAGCCTCAGCCGCTCTCAGGTCAGGGGGCACAGTTGTGACATGGCGGAGGGGCCCAACCTATCGTTACGACTGCAAATGCAGTCGTAACGATAGGTTGGTGAGGAGATTTGGATAGTCATCGAACTCCGAAGCTCCTGACATTTCCACCCTGACGTGAAAGAGACGGGGACGGGCGTGGAGGGCGAAGGGATGCGAGCAGGGCGAGGTCCTAAGTGGATCCCCGTGCAACTCCACTCCTCGCGACCTCCCAGGAGCCCGCGAAAGTGGCGACCGCCGCGCACCTGGCAGCCCCCCAGGGAGCCGCGAGATCCCAACTGGGCCCCCGTGCAAATCTACTCCGCGCAACCTTCCAGGAGCCCACGAAAGTGGGAAACGCCTCACATTTCGCAGCCCCCCCAGGGAGCAGCGAGGTCCAAGCCAGATCCCCGTGCAACTCGATTCCGAACGACCTTCCAGGAGCCCGCGAAAGTGGCAACAGACGCGCACTTCGCAGCCCCCCAAGGAACTGCCTCCAATAGTATTCCCCTTTCCTCCTCCTCCTCCTCCTGCTGCTGCTCCTCCTCCTCCTCCTCCTCCTCCTCCTCCTCCTCCTCCTCCTCCTCCTCTTTCTCCTCCTCCCCTCCTTCTCCTCCTTATCCTCCTCCTTCTCCTCCTCCTTCTCCTCCTCCTCCTCTGTTTTAGTTTTTGGGTCCTGCGCTGCTTGCTGCCTCCTCTCGTGCGTCTCGAGCACCTTGGCGTCGAGGCGCATCTCCTGGCTGTCTGGGGTGTGCCGCTGCACTGGGGGCGGGACTGGTGTCATGCCAACCACCTGGCTGTAGCCTGCTGGCATCTGGGCGTCGTGCTGCCACGAGCTGGAAGCCGCACCCTGGTTCTGGATTTTCTGCTGCGGCCCAGCTGTGTGATCAGGATCTTGATCACGGCGCTTCACTACACTCGAGAGCGGCCTGGTGTCGCTGGTGTCGTCACTCGAGGTTGCGTCGATGGGCTTCTGAGGCTGGCTCGACACGACCAGCGGCTCGGAGTCGACCACCGTCTGGGTCTCCACCGTTCGAGGAGTGCACGAGGACGGATGAGGAATAGGAGGAGGATGAGGAGGAGGAGGAGGAGGAGGAGGAGGAGGATCTCAGGGTGATCCCCCGAAGCGGGGAGTGGGTAAGGACGGCGATCGACGAGAACATGCGAAGATGAAGAGGACGGAGGATGAGGAGCAGGACGACGAGGAACAGAGGGTGGAGCAGTAAAACGCACGAAGAGGATGTGCAGGCAGAGGAGGAGCAACGTGATCAAACACCTGCTGGCGCAAAGCTGCCGCAGCTGCGGCCTGCGCGGTGTCGCGCGGGAGGTCGATGAACGCGGTGGCCGCGTCCTGGGGAGGAACAAATGTAGGGGGGGGGGGAACACATGTGGGGGGGAACGAGTGGGAGCAGCCCGGGCGCTCGCTGCTGCTGCTGCCGCGATCGTGGAGGTGCGCAGCGCGCAGGGCCATGACCCCCGCAGGCCTCCGCGCGAAAACGCGCACCTCGAGGGGCCTGAAAGGTGCGCCTGCGAAACGGACGAGCGTCTCCGTCATCCCTCCTCCCTTCTTCCTCCTTTTCTTGCTTATCTGTCCCTCCCTTAGTATTTATTTTCCTCCATCCTTCCTCCTGTGGACATCCTCCGTTCTTTCCTTGCAATACTCATCATCATCCTTACAATATATCCCCCTCATCCTTCTCACTTTTCTATTTATACGTGTAGGTTGTTTACACGTTTTTTTTGCACGCGCGCACGCACTCACACTACGTGTTTTTTTCTTTCCAGAAAAACAATTTCAGACAATTAGTCCGCACACTAGGTGGTTTCAGAAAACAACGAAGCAGCTAGGAAAAAAAAAAAACAGTTTTTCAAAAAAATACCTCTGGGAAGGGCGGCGTTCGCAGGGTACTCAAGGCGCGCAGTCTGCCCGCGGAGGCGGCCGAGGCGGCGGCCGAGGTGGCCCGCGCCGTCGCCTGGGCGCTTGTGCTCGCGCCTGCGACTTGCGCGGCAAGTCCGACAGGGATTGTCGGGCCTGAACCGCCCCACCCCTACCCCCTACCCACTGCGTACCTACCCCAACCCACTGCTACCCCCAACCCGCGGGGGGTCACCAGGGACACATCGGGCGGTAACGAGAATTGTGGTTAGGCTTGTAGCGATGGTGAGAAGGCAGTCGTAGCTTTGCCCGCCTCGCGCGCCCAAGGAGATCACGCTCTTCGATGTGACCGCCGAGAACGCGGATATCCGCATCGGGCTCCTCGTGGAGGGCGACAAGGCGTGCGATGGTTGCGCGAAGTGGGCTTCGAAGGAACTGCCGAACCTGACCTGGGCGCAGATCGTCAAACACCTCGACGCAGGCGACGTGGACGACCTGTTCGATAACCACCCCGTGCTGGGCACCGCGACGCCGCATCTGCACGAGCGCAGCCTGCAGCTGTTCGAGAACAAACACGTGGGGCACGAGATGTACACGAAATGTTCGGCTCTCACTGAGGGTGACGTGACCAGGATATACGAGAAGAGCCCAACGACGCTGAAGTTGGTCCCCTATTTGGTTCCGCACCGCCCGAGGCCGCTGATCATATACCCTGTGAAGTTGCCTGCTGGCGTCAAGGAAGACTACCCAGTACTGAGGATCTTCCACCATACCTCGATGGGATACGCTGCAGGCGCATTCAAGGCTCAAGCAGCTGAGCTGTTCCAGAAGCACGGGCAGGTTCTGTTGTTCGCGGCGACCGTTAAGTCGAAGGACGACGAGGGCGCAAAGGACGACCCCTCCAACACCTTCGACAGGGGCGTCTACGCGGCCATTCCGAGCCACAGTGACGTCACCAAGCGCAAGGAGAAGGTGCTTGAGAAGGCGCGGAGGTGTGCGAAGCTGCCTCGTGCAGACCAGGACGAGGACGCCTCCAGCGAGCAGGGCCCCCTCGCCGAGGAGTTAGCAGCAGCGTCCGCCGCGCGCGGGGGGGCGGGAGATCCAGCCGCCTCATCGCTAGGGTGTGCCCCCCCTCTCACGGTCGAAAGGCTCCTCCAGCACGGCAAGGCGGGAACTGGCGCGAACCTGGGCCCAGAGGCGCGGCGCCCGAGCGGAAGTGATTTCGGTGCGAATCTCAACAAAGGCAGCCCAGGCGACAAGAGGAAGGCGGGAGATCCTTCGCCAGGGTCGGTCAAAAGCATGAGGACAACGTTTTCCGCGGTGCATGATGACCTCGGTGCAAACCCCGGCACCCTCGGCACCAAGGAGTACTGGATCCACGAATTGTCTTATTCACGCGGGTTCAATGGCTGCAAAACTGGCCGGGCTGAGCATCAGGCGAAGCAGTTGTTGACGAAGCTGAACGGGGCCGAGAAGAAGACTCTCCAGACGCATATCGACCTATTCAACAAGTCGAAGCTGTTCTCCGAGGGGTCCTCTACGAACGTCGACGACCAGGAGCTGATCGACGCGTGGAACGACCTCCAGGAGGCCGGGGCCGTGCTGGCCCCGAGAGCCTTCAGGGGCCTCGCGAAGCGCAACGTGATGGGCCTGTGGCGCCAGCCCAACCAGCAGGAGGGCAGTGGTGCCGCCGCGCGCAAGCGAGACCTCCTGAAGCAGTTCCTGACCGCGTGCGTGGTCTGGGGAATCGAAGGTAATGCGGTCAAAAGTGGATGACCTAACAGAGGTGACGCTGGTGCAAGACTGCTTGCACGACATCGACGTCGCCTCTACGTTCGTCGAGTGGGTCTTCTCCGACACGTTCTCAAACTGGCTGGCCGCAGGTGCCGCGTCCGCTGAGGACGCCGTCTTGTTCTGCGAACTTGCTGACGACGTGTTCAGCTCCTTGCCAGAGGACGCGAACCCTGGGGAGGCGTTTGTCAAATGCTTCTTGGAGGCAACTACTGTCGTTCGCTTGCTGGTCGCACTGCGCTTGAAGTCCATCGGTAAAGATGCGGACCTGGCGATCTTCGCCGATGCCCACGTCCTCGACAAGGAGGCGAAGAGGACGACTGGTAACGCCTCGGTGATGCAGGTCATTGGCCAGTCCTTACTCACGCCAGCGGGCGGGCATTGGGAGGCAAAGCTGAAGTGGGCGATCGACACCTCGGACGCGATCAAGATCCACGGGCCGAAGCTGAAGCAGATGCTGATTGACCTGGATTGCATCAACGGCATTGTCCCCCCGAAAGAGGTACACGCAACCACCGTGCTCAAAATCGCGAAGGACATCCCTTGCTTCGAGGTCGGCCTCTACGATGGCGTATGCGATGCCGCTAAGACCGAGCTGTGGGCCAAGGCCTGCAGGATTGCAGAATCAATGCTGGCTGCCAAACCGCCCGCGCCCGCCACCGATGACGACAGCCTTAGCATGATGGCGCTCCAGCAGTGGAAGCCTCTGTTCAAGGAGCTCACCAAGCCCTTCCCGACCAACGAGCATGTCGAGCGCGCTGGCCGCGCCATCGCCGCGAAGATTGCAGAGGTGAGCGAGCATGACAGATTCCTTCAGCTCGCGTCGTCCATCGACAATTGGGCTCATGCCGACGGAAGCTCAACGGTTTCCTTGATGACGTCGATCAAGGATAACCAGTCCATGGAGTTCCCCGAAGATGTCAAGGTTAAATGCATTGCGCTGTTCAGAAGGATTGTCGGTAGTATGTACACTGATGGGCCGACTTCGCTGTGCGCGGATACCGATAGCCGCATCTTCCTGTGTTTGGATATGGTCGCAGAGAAAGTTCCGAGTCAGGATTGGCATTCCACAACGCAGCCCGGCGCGATGATCCACTCTTGCTGGTCGGTGCTGCAGCTGAAAAACGCCATCGCCGCGGAGCTTGGCGAGGGCGCCGACCTGCCTAGCGATGTCGCCGAGCAGAGGGGCAATGACCTTCCGCCTGGTCAATAAAGCGAAGGTGCACTTCAAGCCGCTGGCGCTGGACGCCGTCGTGGAGAACGCTTCGCCCAGCTTGGTGACGCTGCTGCAGGAGTGTGGCGACTTCTGCGGCAGCATCGCGGAGGCCATCCGCAAAAAGCACACCGCGGATGTTGTCGAGCAGGGCTGCAACCTGCGCAAGGCAATCGACGAGACCAACGGGTGCGCGGATTGGGTGAGCAATAAGTCAAAGGCGGGTTCGCTACCAGAGCTGCTTGTGTTCTACGAGAAGGGCAGGAAGGACGCGCCGACCCGCGAGTGGCAGGACAAGGTTGCATCGCTCGAGGACGCCTTCGCGACCTTGCAAAAGAAATCAGCAAATTTCGGGCTTGACTACAAAAGGCGCTGGCGAGAAGTTTGCTGAGACGCCGACGGCGGCCAAGCAGATCAAGAGCCTCGTCATTGAATGCGAGTTGTGCGCGTCCTTCGCCAATCGGACGCTCGTGGGCAACAAGATTTCACTGAGGGGCGCGATGATGGGAACGCAGAACAAGCTTCGCAAGTGGGAGCTCACGCCCGACGACATCGACCCGCTTCTCGTTACGCGGTATCGCGACGCACTGCGCATGAAGTAGGCCGTGAGCCGTTCACGCAGCTGTTCGGAACGCGATGGCGCTGCTCTCGGATGCGACGCTTCCAGACGGAGATCGGGCGGGAGGGACGAGTCGGATGACGAGTAGGAGGGCGAGAATGAGAAGCGCAATGAGGGATGCAACGACAGGCGGGGGGAGGAGGGCTCGATAAACGCAGATCTCTCTCATGTGCAGCAGGCTGGTTTTGTTTGAAGGCCAGAACGAGTTCTGGTGGGTTGACCCGCCCAGGGGGCACCTGGGGACGCAATGCATTTAGCGCGTATGTGAACTGAACAACTGCCGCACCGTCATCGGCGTTCGCGCCACCGTCCTTCGATCCTTACTCACAGTCCTCCGTTTCCCCTCTTCTGGCCTATTCATCGTGCCCGCCCTCCTTATCCTATTCCTGATTTTCCTCTCGGCATCCCTCGTCCCTCATCCTTCTCATCTCACCGCCCCTGTCTAACCGTAATGTTTGACGCTTCGCGTAATCCCGCCATCGCCAGTGCGCAATGGGGATACAGAGCCACCAACATGATCACTCACCTGCCCCCCATAGGGAACCCGATCATAACGGGACGAAGCAGCCCACCACTGTTGCAGCTGGTGGCAGCACAGTTCGACATCACTAGCCACCCACAGAGAACAGTCTAACCGCCCTGGTACACTGGGGTGGTGAGGACCCGGGTACCAGCGATGCGCTACACATACTGACGCCCGAGCAGAAAAACGACGCAGTTGTTGCCCATATTCTAAGATGGAGGAGAATGACCGATGACATGGAGCAAGCGGCCGTAAACAGCGAGTGGGCCACCACTAAAGTCTCCCTACCGAGGGACGAGACTCTCCTGAGGGAGGGACTGGAACCACTCTACCACCACGTAATTCGGCGCACCCACAGCGGAGCGACACCGGGCCTGGCGCGTAGCGACCCCCACATGGAGGCACTGCAGGTAGCCGCTCAGACTGCCTTGGCCTGGGACACCAACGGAAGCACCTGGAGGTCCAAGGAAGCATCAGACTCTGCACACATCCCTGTGTCCAGAGCTGCCACCTGCATTGCACTGGCAACCGCTGCAGAAGCAGCAGCAGCCCCAGGGTGCAGAGCGGGCCTCAAGGGGGGCGGAATCCTCCTACTAAAGACTCCCGAAATAATAGCGGCCCCCATATTGAGATATCTCAGGGAGAAACTCCCCCAAGTCTTCGGATCTGCAAGTGGCCCCCCCGCACGCTGCCCCCGAAGGATCCTCCTGGAAGGAGATTGGGACGGGGGCCCTTCCTTCATCAGACTATCGGACCCCGAGGGAGGCCATCACCTCAGATGGAACCTAGCCGACCTGGGGCAGACAAGCAGGCAAGAGATCACGAGGGCGGTGGAGGCTACAGCCGGGACAGGGGCGGTTGAGCAAGCGATGGCAGTCTTCGCTTGGTTTCCCGACACTGGGGACTATCAGCACATGACGCAGGTCAGAATCCGACTCGGGGCAGCGACTACCATGTCGGCAGCCTTTTGCGGAACAAGCTGCATCACAGTAGGCTCACAAGTGGTGGGGATATTTCCAGCCACCCCCACCAGGGAGCAAAGCAGGGGGGAAGCAGGATCGCCTAGGGCACAGGCGGAACACATCGCTGCCTTAGCAGAACAAGCAGTGAGATAGGCCCCAAGGAGAGCCGTGCAACCGCAGATACTGGAAGTCACGGCGTTCGACCAGCAAGGAAGGTCGATTGGCTCCCCCAGAACGAGGCCCATGCGCCCGGACCCGTGGATTCCAAGCCACACCAGGTTACGAATGTTCTCGGCAGCAATAGGTTCGGCTGGAGCCAGCTTGCACACCTGAGCATGGCCACTCCCCGAGGGGACGACCAGAGGACAGGGAGACAGCATGATAAGGATCCCCCCCTGACATCACGGAGGATTGGCTCCGCGAGGTGGACTGCAGCTTTGAGGGGCAACTCCCCACAAGGCGGGCAACGGTGGAGGGCAGGGAAGGCCTGTGAGATTTTGGCACGATGCTGCACCCAGGGGAGCACCTCTCAGCGGCGGTGGCGGCGGGCGGTGCTGTGTCGGTCATCGCCAGCGGAGAGGACGGACACCTCTACACCTCCACTCCCATGTGGATCACCGTCGCCCTGCCGGCGGACGCTGACCTGAGAGCGGCCAGCCGTGGGGCGGACCGACCGACGATACGAGTAGCCATACAGCTATTGCACGGGACCGTGCATCTAGCGAAGCTGGACGCGGCATCGGCGCCAAGACCAACACCCCAAGACTTGGGAATCAACACCAGTCAGCCTCGGGAATCAGTGATACCCCCAAGAAGGCATGCGGCTGTCGACTCTCTACCAGGCCCAGCCGACCAAGGGCATGCCCACCCCTGGCTGAAGTGCTGGCGCAGAAGATGCGGATAAGGGCCCGCGCAAACGGCACGCTGGTCAGAGCAGACAGCGACGCAGTCGCGTGCGCACAAGGCCTACTTGGTAAATTCCAGGCGTGCATCGATGAGCAGAGCACGCACGACCTGGCAAGAGGTATTCAGACCAGGCTGGTACTCGAACAGCGGCGCCAGGACGAAGGCATACCCATAAGAATATTTAACTGGGATCTATGCGCTGCCATATGGATACTCCAGCTAACGGACCCGGCTTCGCTGGAAAGAGACCACCTAAACCAATTCATCAGGGAGTTAGGCATAAAGGAAGAGGTCACCAGACAACTCCCTTTTGCTCAGTGGCTAGCACCCGAACCAGACCTCACATATACTGCCCACCACCCCTGGCTTGAAGTCCCTGGGAGCAGAGGAACAGACGTCGACAGCAGCACTGCACGCAGGCTAGTGACAGGCACGCTGGAAGGCATCCAGGCCTTGGACGAAAGACTCAAGAGGACAGCCATCGAAGATAGGTTGCGGCACGACCCAGGGAGGATCCCCAGGCCCCGTAGGGCTCAAAGGACTCAGAGGAATAACAGCGCGAATTTCGCGGGTGACACCGGGGCACAGGGTGCGCGGACCGGGCAGGGCCACGCAGAGGGGGCACAACGCGGAGAGCGGGGCGATCCGCAGGCGTCGCAGCGAAGCGCGCCACGGGAGCCGCAAAACCCACCCAGCGAACCCCCGGGCCGACAGCCAAGCCCAGGGACAGCAGCACAAGCAGGAAACCCGCAATCAGAGCGCCACAGCAGCCAGGGCCCCCGAATGGGCTCGGGCATCCCGATACTGCGGCAAAATGACATCAGAGAAGGCGGCACTGCTTCCCCGGCGGTTCCGTCAGCGCCCCACCGATGGGGAACGCTGCAGATGAGCCCGCGCAGGAGACGGGCGAAGGGCGCCGTAACACTGAGCAGACGAGAGAGCAGAGCCAACGAGCTCAGGCATCCCCACGCTCAGTCCCGCCTGCCGAAACAAGACCCCCACAAGAACGACAGGCGGAGGCTACCCCAGGAGAGCCGCCTCTCCAGAGACAGGCCCCCCAGCCTGAGCGAGCGAGAGGCTCACCCACGGTTTCTGCACCTCCTAACCCACAAGCAGAGAGTAGTAACCATACAGACGTAAGAATGAGGGCCAGGCCCGACAGTCGCCAACAGGCAGACGAGACACGGACCGAGAGGACGCCAGTGGTACAGACGGGCGGGGCGAGGCCACCCCCAGACAGTGTCGCGCGCTCCCCACCTGGGGACCCGCTGGGAAGAGGAGGCACCCCCCGGCCGAGCACTCACCCCCCCCCCCTGCATGAGACGCCAATGGGAACGGCTCCTCGACAGCACGGCCGAGACGCTCCGCAACCTAGGCCCGCCAGCTCAGTGGAGTAGGCTAGGGTGCAACGACGAGACAAGATGGAGAACCGTACTAAGCGCCATCTGCTGGGGCACGAGCATGGTGCAACTCGAAAAGCAGATGCGACAAGTATTCACGAGGGCACGCGTCGCGCACAGGCTCTTCGCCCCATTTAAGGCATACTGGACACGGATCGCCCATCCAGCACGAGGAACCTTAATGGAAGAAGCATTACATCTAAGAATGCTGCCCTCTCGGCGGACGACGCATGCGCACACCTGCAGGAGGCTGTGGGCAGAAGCTTCGACGAAGGAGGACCCGCAGTCCCCTTTTCTACTTTGACCTCAGAGGTAATAGAAGGCATACTTTCTGTGGCCGCTGGGAACAGCCCGGGCTCCGACCCCGCCAGACTGAGATCGGTTGACCCCACCCGGCACAACCTCAGGGGGGGGCCTACCCTGGGGGGCCTCCCGGAGCCACCGCAAACGGCCAGGACGGAACCTGCCCCGACCCCGCAACAGAGAGGGGCACGCGCTCCAAGGCAGCAGCGATCACGAAGAGGTGCACCAGGAACTGAACCGCAGCAGTTACCCACTGAACAGAGGGAAGACCCAGGCAGAAGCGATACCAGGAGGGGCATGGAAAGGGTGCACAGCAGGAGCTGCAGCAGACTGAGCCGGCGAACAGGCCAACAGGAACCAGGATCGAGGCGCAGAGCAGGGGCGAGGGCTTCGAGGGCTGCGCGAGGCAACCTGCCAACCCTGATGACAATGTGGATCACCCGTCCAAGAGCGCCAGCGCAGGCGCGAGAGGTAAGAAGACGCACGCGCACATTATCCGACCAACAAGGGACAAGGGAAATAACCAGGAGGGTGATACCTAGAACCAGCCCCTATGCCCCCAACGGACCCACCGCACCCCCGCAGCCCATTGACGTCCTGCAGCAGGTTTCGTCACAGCACAGGGATAGCGAAACTGGTTTCGCTCCGATAGCCCCACCCAATCAGGTGCTGGTCTCCTACCAGGTGGCAGGACTGGACAACGACACCATTCGTGAAACCGTGCAGTCCCTGCACGAGCAAGGCGCGGTCCACCTAGAATCCAACCAGACGGCCAACGACACCACGGGCAGACTACGGGTCCAGGAACCTGCCGAGCGGGACTTCGCACAGCGGGAGCAAGGAGCAGAAGGGGACAGGCCTGCGGCCCAGTCCAACTCGGGCGAGGGAG